TATTGTCCGTTCTAATCTTTCCTATCCCTGACATTCAAAAATCATGAACTTGTCCCCCAGATCATAATTTCAGATAAAAAATTCTACATGTTTATTATGTCTTTTCATGTTTGCTTTCTAAGTATTCTCCTACTCCTTAAACCTTTGTGTCTTTTCTTCAGAAGTACAAGGCTAGGGACACGTTTTTCCTCAAATGGAAGCTGAGAATGTCGTGAGAGTCACTTGACCTTTTGAGTTTGCGCATTAATAACTATGATAAATACCACAAGAGTCAAATGGAGCCCATGATAATGGACTTAGCTTGGGAGACTACATTCTCTCAGGCCAGACACAATTCCTAACACAGATCTTCAGTGACACTCCCCACTTGACCTTACACATTGTCCTAACATGGTGGAGCAAGTCAAGAAACTCTTGCTGAAAAGCCACAAGGAGGTGACAGAACTGGAACCTGGGTTCAGAACTCTGCTGTCATGCTAACAGTAACTTCCCTATTGCACATTAATGTGAACGAATGGATAATGATCCAAAGTCCAGTTTTCAGTATAGCTTATATTTATTTTTCATACAGAACTTCTGACTTCCATTTTTCCTCTGTGAAAATTAAAGTTTGCACTTAAATAAAGTGATTTCAATTATATCAAAATACAAACTGTTCTACAGTGGTAATTAATAATGTCTAAAAAATGGTCTAACCTGGAAAAAGGCCAAATCAAAACTGCAGAGCTAACATGCCTGTCCTTCACCGTACTTAGACTGTGTCACTTTGTAAGGTGAAAATAAAAATCACCAGACAGGTTTTCCCTCTAAATAGAAGGGGTAAACATTACTACTTTGTGTCTGCAATAAAACAAATAAACAAAACTAATAAAGTCAGGAAATTACAGTACCATTGTGAGGCTCAGGGATTTAATTTTACGGGCTCCCTGGACTCACCTGGGATGTGCTACTTAGTTACCTGCATGATTACAGGAGAACATGGTAAAAGATGTTCACCTACTATACAACTTTTAAAGAAATGGTCAGACTGTCAAACATAGAATCACAGAATGGTTAGGGTTGGAAAGGACCTTAAGAGCATCTAGGTCCACCCCCACTGCCATGGGCAAGGACACCTTATCTAGACCATGTTGCCAAAGGCTCTGTCCAACCTGGCCTTGAACACTGCCAGGGATGGAGCATTCACCACTTCTCTGGGCAGCCTGTTCCAGTGCCTCAGCACCCTCGCAGTAAAGAACTTTTTCTTATATCTGGATCTGGAGATGATTCTGGACATTATATACTTCCTGATAGTGAACATAATTGCTTCCCTTGTTTATTCTCATTTAACAGTATAAAGTTACAAACTTTACAGTGGTACCTGTATTTCTGTTCATCAAAAGGGAGAAGGGGATAGAGATGAAGGCCATTGTCTGCCTCAATTTTGCTCCATGTTTAGGAAGGTAATATTGCATTTTTTAGGTGGTGGTTATGTCTGAGATAGTACTGATGTGAGGAGTAATATATAAAACCTTGTGTAAAGGAGACTTCACATGTAGTTAAAAAATTATCACATAGTATATACTAAAGGGTTTTTTTTTTTACTGTATCCTATGCCTTTTTTTTTTCTGTCTTTGAAGTACAGAAATTGCAAACATTTTTTCTTTGGTGTTGAATTTAGTGGGGCTACATCTGACTAGTGATCAGTCACCAGTGGTCTTCAGGGTTTAATTCTATGGTTAGTCCTGTTCATTATATTTATCAGTGATCTGGATGCGGGTATTTGAATTCATGAATGCGCCATTAGCAAATTTGCCCATAGTACCAAACTGGGATGTGCTGTTGACCCTCTTGAAGGACCGGAGGCCTTGCAAAGGGATCTAGATAAATTGGAACACTGGGCTATGTTTAATGAGATGAAATTTAACAAGTCCAAATGCCATACTCTGTATCTAGGATGGAGTAATGCCGGGCACAGGTATAAAATGGGAGCAGAGTGTCTGGCAAAAAACCCTGCAGAAATGGATTTGGGATTGCTGGTCGACAGCAGGCTCAATATGGGGCAGCAGTGTGCCCTGGCAGCCAAGAGAGCAAACCACATCTTTGCAGACATCAAACGCAATATAAGCAGCCAGTCAAAAGAGGAGATTATCCCACTGCATTCAGTGTTGGTATGGCCTCACCTGGAATACTGTGTGCAGTTCTGGCCCCACCAATAAAGGAGGAGGTGAAGGTAGTCAAAATGCATCCAGAGATGAGCAACAAAGCTGGTGACAGGTCTGGAAGGAACGTCCTATGAGGAGAAGCTGAGGACTTTGGGCTTGTCTACCTTGGAGAAAAGGAGGTTGAGGGGCAACCTCATTGCTCTCTACAGCCTCCTGAGGAAGGGAAGCAGAGAGGGAGGTGCTGAGCTCTTCCCCTGGTACCCAGTGATAAGATGCATGGGAATGGCTCAAAGCTGCATCAGGGGAGGGTCAAACTTGACATTAGGAAGCATTTCTCTATGAGAGTGTGGTCAAACAGTGGAATAGGCTTCCTAGAAAGGCAACTGATGCCCCAAGCTTGCCAGCGTTTAAAAGGCATTTGGACAATGCCCTTAATAACATGTTTAAACTTTTGGTCAACCCTAAATTGACTAGGTAGTTGAACTCAATGATCACTGTAGGTTCCTTCCAACTGAAATAGTTACTCTAGTCTTGTCCATTCCATTCCAGTCTGTTCTAACTATATCATAGCCAATGCAGCACCAGCAGCTGCCATTAGCACAATCTTGGCTTGCCCTTATTGGGGTCACACAACCTTGTCTATATGAAACTCTGACCACTTCTTGACCAACTGAGCCATTGTAAGTGTTGAAAATAAAATCAGCAACCTGATGTAGATGATGTTGTAGATCTGGCTTCGGTCAAGAGGGAAAGATGTGCAGCATGGCAGCACTCAGAGATTGATATATTGGCTGAAATACATTTTGCTGAAATATGGGCCGGAAAATTAAACACTGACTGGAGCTAAGATCATTCCTCATGAATTGTCAGAGGGCTGTTATGGGACTATGTATGCAATTAAATAGCTGCAAGGCGATATTATCAGCCTCTGTTATGTGTGCCAGCTGTTGTGGAACTACAGAAAATAGTGGCAGAGATAAGCAATCTATGTTATGGGAGTGGTGTTTATACGAAACTGTACAGTATCTGAAAAGGCTAAACCTGCCTCTTCACTTTAGGGCACTAACATTTTGGGGGTAAGGAAGATATGTATTGATATTTTAGTTAAGGCTTAAAGCCTTTTCCTCTTCCATTGTCTTTTATTCTGCTTGTTTGAGGCTAAATAGTATTTTAGTTGAAGTAGCTTTACCAGTCAGCACGCATTGCTAAGTGATGGGCTCCCAAAAAGGTTGCCAAGCCAGTTCACTCTGTGGTACAATCTCTATACTGGTAAACTAATCAGGGGCAGGGCATTTAGTCTGGATTCTGGTTTGCCACTATTCATACTGTTAAATTATTAGACTGATACCTGCCATGACACTGGATCAGGCACACTTGTGACATCAGACATAACCAGGAAGGATTTCCACTGGGCACTTTGGCTGGTTCTTACTGTAAGAAGCAGAAAATGCAGCCACGCAGTGCAGTTACGAAGACATCCTTGGGCAGATTTTATGACGTGAACCACCGAATGCATTTTTTTTTTTTTTTGTGATTTTTTTTCTTGTGTTTACCCAAAATCCTTGGAGTGAAATTGTGACTTCATTGGACTGAAAAACTTGCCAAAGATTTCAATGAGATCAGGATTCAGCTGATAGGCCTGGAGATATTTCAACCCAGTTGAAGCATTTTCCATGTTTCCCGTTTCTGCATGGAGCCTAAGTGTCTGTGCAGTGTGTAACTGTAGCATTTGATACTGGATATCTGGTGTAAGAATTTGACTAAAGATGACCAGGCCTTAGACACAACAAAAAATGTTCCTTCTATTCTCTTCTCATTTTGCATTTTGAAGGAATTTCTGGTATTTTTCATTTCCTATCCCCAGAGGAATATGGCCTGCTAAGCAATGATTCCATTTTGGTAGCTCATCCTAGCAATTTCCAGTAGCAGCATTCCCTATGTAGTCATATTTGTACCGAAGTAGCGCATTATCTAAATGCACCATATTTTAAACAACTTCAGTTATGATGCTGTCACTTTTTATAATGGATGGTAGCCCAGAAAAACAATAGTCCATCGGTGTACCAGTGTAAAAAATTAGTTGTGATTGGGTGAAAAATTGAGCATTTTTTCCTATGACTTAAGACATTGGAGACAAGGTCTTTTGTATAAAAAATAAAATTTCAACAATAAATCAGTAAAAGCAGCTTTCAGATGTGTGCTCTATACTTTCATTAATACTTTTATTATATCGGTTGAGTCTCTTTCTGTTTTGTAATTAACTTATCAAGGAGTAATGGTCTAATTTTAAAAAGCTGAATGGATGACAGAAATACTGTTTGTTGTAAATTGAAAATATTTCAGCATCTGCCAAGATTAGATTTCTTTAAATTACCCTTTAAAAACATTGATTTCTAATATCGTATTCCCTTTTCTCAATAAAATAGAAAAATGTGTTCAGAGGAAGCTGTTTTTAAGGAGGCATTGCTGAGAAACAAATCAATTCCAGTAGTATTAACCCCTCTCTGATGATCTGTCAAAAATACAGTCTCCATTTAATGCTACTGGTTTGGTGCGTAGTCATTTTTTATTATCCATCAGATTGAGAATCTGAAATTAAATGTTCAGCAATATTCGTATAAATAAAGGAGCCCCCAGCTCTATACTTTGACATAACTAGGACACTCTAACATCATAACTATATAAAGATTAATTCTCCCCCAAATTAGTGCCTGATAAAAACATATGGCATGGTGTTTACCAGGAGGAAGAGCTCTGGACTCATATATAGGCTTGTTGCCTTCATAGCATATGACCAGTGCCACTTGAAGGATGCCCAGTAATGCCCTTTGGATATATCATTGCTGTTATCAAGGCAATATGGAGCTGAATATAATATCTGAAATTTCCTTTACCTGTGCTAACCTCACATTATGTGGTTTATATTAAAAGTCTCATTAAATTCATTTATTCTGTTTGAAAAGTGAAAGCTGAGATGTCTGTACTTGGATAGACCAAGGGTCTTTGTAGCTGGGTTCCCTCTTTCCCACAGTGGCTAATTGTGGGTGCTTATGAAAAGCTTACTAGATACCTAAATTGATTCTTTCTAGGGCATATTCTGTAGCTCCCAATAATACCAAGCCGGGGATTTCTTTCTAGACCATATAATAGTCTTTGATAGGCCCCTCAGATTGCTCTGACTCCTTTTTTAACCCATGCCCATTTTTGTTACCATAACAGTACATGTATTCTACATCCAATTGTACATTACAGGAGAAGTTACTTCCTTGTGTTTTGAACCTACCAAATGAGAATTTTATAGACTCCACTCAGTTCTTTTGTTGTGAGAAGCTGTACATGATTGCTCCCTGTCTGCCTAATACCAGTCACCATTTTCATAGGTTTATTTCATAGTAGCCCCTCAGTTACCCTTTCTCCAAACAGAAACATCTTAGTCTGCTTACTTTTCATTCCTCATATGGAAAAGTTCCACACCTCTGATCATTCATCTTGCCCTGTATTGTAACCTAGAGAAGTAAGAGATAGGGAAAAGTACAGTGCTATATCAATGTTTTCTGTTTATTCTCAATTTCTTTCTTTGGGGTTTGCCTTTCAACTGTGACTATTTTAATCAAGCTGGTCAAAATGATTTCATGGCCTCTTTCTTGAATGGCAAATGTTAGTTTAGAAACCATTGGTCTGTTGAAAAGTTAAGACTTTCTTAAATAAACCTAATTTTGTCAGCTCTTTTTTCATTCAAGTTTTTGTGGGGTCCTTCTGCAACACTTTACAGCTGGCTTTTTATTTTAGTATGCTAAAGAACTTAGTATCAACCTCACCATATTCTTCACCTTTTCAATAGCAAGTAGTAATAAAAGACCAGCACCAGTGAAACTGTAACAAATCTCTGTGGTTAAAAGAGAAAAAAATTGTATTTTATTCCATTTCTGCATAGCTTTCAAACAGTTACTGACCCACAGATTTTGTCTCTTACCTTATCAGAAACTTAAGTATACTAACAAAATTTCTTTGATGGAAAATAATGAGAGTACACAAAAATAAAAGGGGTTTTCATTGGTAAAACAAGCCAACACACAGGTAGGATGTAGCATATCTCATCCAGATGAGCATTGCAGATCATCTTAAATGTGCAGTAACACATAATAAGGCTTTAATGGAGCCTTAGGTTCCTCTACACACTGAGCTCTTTTCTCATCTATTAGGGATCTTAATATAAGCCAGGCTGCTGATGCAGCATGACTAAAGCTTGGGCTGTGACTTACAGGCTGGCAGGATACAGGAAAGCCATAGTTCATTAGAAAGAAGGTTGATGAGAAAGATCATCTTTATCATCAAACCTACTGCTAGTAATGGTCCTAATTCATAAAAGCACTAAACAGAGTGGGACTTGGTCAAAAGTAAAAATTTATTTTCTGTATCCTGCCCTGTTATTCCCACAGTACATCCAGAGATCTGTATTATGATTTTTGCTCTAGTGCTGGAAGAACTACACCTGGATCGGAGCAATCCCAGGCACAGCTACAGGTTGGGCAGAGAAGTGATTCAGAGCAGCCCTGCGGAGAAGAACTTGGAGGTGTTGGTCGATGAGAAACTTAACATGAGCTGGGTTCAGTGTGCGTTTGCAGCCCAGAAAGCCAACCGTATCCTGAGCTGCATCAAAAGGAGCATGACCAGCAGGTGGAAGGAGGTGATCCTGCCCCTCTGCTCTCGTGAGACCTCACTTGGAGTATTGTGTGCAGTTCTGGTGTCCTCAAAATAAAAAGGACATGGAACTGTTGGAACAAGTCCAGAGGAGGGCCACGAGGATGATCAGGGAACTGGAGCACCTCCCGTATGAAGACAGGCTGAGAAAGTTGGGGCTGTTCAGCCTGGAGAAGAGAGGGCTGCGTGGAGACCTCATAGCAGCCTTCCAGTATCTGAAGGGGGCCTATAGGGATGCTGGGGAGGGACTCTTCATTAGGGACTATAGTGACAGGACAAGGGGTAACGGGTTAAAACTTCAACAGGGGAAGTTTAGACTGGATATAAGGAGGAAATTCTTTCCTGTTAGGGTGGTGAGGCACTGGAGTGGGTTGCCCAGGGAGGTTGTGAATGCTCCATCCCTGGCAGTGTTCAAGACCAGGTTGGATGAGGCCTTGGGTGGCACAGTTTAGTGTGAGGTGTCCCTGCCCATGGCAGGGGGGTTGGACCTAGATGATCTTAAGGTCCTTTCCAACCCTAACTATTCTATGATTCTGTGATTCTAAGAATGGTATTCCTGAGCTGTTGGAGCAAAGGACAAGCATTGCTCAAGTTCCACATTCCCATCAGGTCTGGGATTTTCAAATATTTCCAGAGAGGAAAATCTCACAATCTGCTTTCTTAATTGTCTTGTCTTTTATCTTCAAATACATTATTAAATTCCTTTAATTGTAAAAATACATTCAGTGATTATGCCACAAAAAAATCTTGCATTTTTGGGGAGGGGGAGGGTATTCTTGGACTTTGTGATGGCCCAGCCAGATGGTGTTCTTTAAGAATCTGGTGAGATTATACAGCTTAGAAAATCTATTACTTTAAGTATCTGAAAGAATACAGAGTTACTGAGGTTTTGAAACTGCTCTGCCCTGATATCACAGCATTCCTGCAGTGAAGGTTGATACAGTTTATGGTCTTAGGTGAGGGTCCAGATAAACACTAAAAGTGCTGGTTTTACAAACAAGGTAAGAGGAGGGACTCCAGGGCAATTTGAGCAATGGAGAAAAAGTCTGATTAATAGAATCCTGAATCAGTAAGTTTGATTTTTCTCTCAGGAATATTCCATAAAAATCTCTTAAAATACTCCCTAATATCACATTATTTTAAAATGAATACATAAAGTAAAAAATACATGTATTTCTGTAATATCTAGGAATTCAGTCATGAATGATAAGCTAATGGCATTAGATGTTTCTCTAAATACTGAGCAAAATGACAACATTCTTGGTCACAGAGATTTTGCAATCCAGTTGTTAGGAAAAATGGAGGTGAATGCAGAGAGAGAGAGATGATATTTATGAAGGAGTGGCTATGATGGTAATTATAAATCCCAGAATGTCTGCAACTAGATTCCTATCATGACAGGCAGATTCAGAGAGTGTCTGCAAAAAAGATAACTTCTAAAGTGGTCTACCATACATGCTTGTGAAGGACTTATACTTCAAGACTAATGAGGAAGAAAGCATTTTGGAGCATGAGTTGAAACTCACATAGGGAAAGCAGTATGCAAGCATTGGCTGAGTAAAGATAGGAACCAGCTTCCTTGAAAACCAGGAGAGGGAACAAAAGGCTTCTCAGATCATTGAAACTGGCTTTCCTTAGTAAAGGTATGTGATGGAAAAGGTCCAGATAAGTTTAAATTATTTGAGAAGACTGAACTATTTTAGAGGTAACTAAGGGGAAGAATCATCCAGTTTTACACACTGCAGGGGTATGAGGACCCTGAGGAGACCAAAGGCAACACCTGAATAAAGAGATGATTAGTCATCTAAGTCAGCATAGCTTGCAAGAAACACAGAGAACTGTGGTTTATTTATGTGAGGAAACAGAGGACACTGGGGTGGATAGGTCAACAGGACAATAAATTATTTTGGATAGAAATCGGATCTGGAATAAAGAGGAAAATGTTTTTACTCCATCCATACACACTCAGTTAGCCTTGCTCATTTTAGCTAGACACAAAGTTGCATACATGTAACCTCTACATGCACTCGAAGGTGCAGAGACAAAAGAGACTACTGTGCCCACCAGATCACTCCCCATTGAGCTATGATCCTGTCTGATTATCACTGCACTGGGAAACAGACTCTGAAGGGCAGAAGCTGGGAGAGGAGCTTGGAGAGAGTGTGCAGGAAATATGTACCATTAATTGATCTTGATTTAGAAACTCACAAGGCAGGCTTAAACTGACTCAAAAGACTTTGGCATCTTGTGGTTTAGGTCAGGATGAGCTAAATGCATGCATGAATTATTATATATAACTGGATGTGTGTGAAGGAGTGTGGATATTCATTACTTCTGTGAAAGAGTGATTAATAATGCAAAGAGCACTACAGATGTACAGAAAAGTGGTTATATCTGCTTCCCATTTCTTTGCTGACAGAACTGGTGGTTGTCACTAGACAGGAGGAGTAGTGCTCAGTGTGCGGGTTCCAACTATGTGAGCTTGGTCCCACGTGTTCCTGAAAGTCCTCCATGGTCAGGTGTCCTTGAAGGCAGGGCTCTGTTACTGTCCTTCAGGCTGACATAGAGACCACCACCCAAGTTGGTTGATCTTTACTGGTTGGTAATCTGCTCTAAAGTGTTCCTTGATGATGGGTGTAGCGAGTCACTGGGCAAGTATTATTGTATTAGGTTAGTTCTGTTATTTCCACCAGTTATGTTTTCTTCATAAGACTTCCCCTCTCATGCTTTACCTAACAAAAGCTACATCCCTTACAACTATGTAGCAACATAATAAAGGTCGAACTGTGGGCCTTTAACATCAGCATGACTACTTGAGTGATGTCAGCTCAGTAGGACAAGACAAGGTAGGGGCAGCTGAAAACTGCCTTTGCCTGTGCTATGGGAGATAGAACCTGCTGTTCTGGCCTAAATAATCCTCATCCACCTTCTGCCCCCTCTTTGTTTTGTAACAGAACTCACACCAGCATTGTCCTCTTACCAGCAGAGAATAGAGGCTACAGCAAAGCCATGAGGAGGGTTTTTTTTCTAGGCAGAATTGAGTTGATAGAGGAAGGCAGCTATAAGGTGGGAAGAAGACAGTTACAGACTTTGGAAACAATCTGAAACCCCAAGAACATGAGGAACCACCCCTGCGAGGAAGTAACAGGGCAGGTTGAGAAATGGAAAAGAGGCTGAGTACAGTTTCCCCCTCCTACCAGGTCTGCCACAGACACACAACACCCTGCTGGCTTCTCCCAGATTCCCTCCCCATCCCCACACACATCTCCCAGATGTCTCACAAATACTCTCCAAGATTTCCCTTCTGACTCTCAGGAACCTGCTCCACTGCCATAGAAGCTGAAAAATGGCAACTGCTGCCAAGGAGCTTTAAGCTGCAAATTCCTAACAGCATTCCACCCTGGAGGCTTGCCCTAGGCAAGTAGGTCTGAAGAGTGTTAACCCAAGCTAACTCCCAAACAAGAAACACTATTGTTTGACAGCTATAGCTGTTTGAACCACAGAACCAAGTATACCGTGGTTCTCCTTTACTAAGCTTTGTCCCCTCCTGCCAGCCACATAGCAAATTAGAGGGATCACAGGCATCAGCATCTGCAGATCCCAGCATCTGAACTGCCTGTACTGCTGTGTCCACATTGCAGTACAGCTTGCACATTACTTGTATTCTAGAAATACTACAGAAAATGATTAGATAAGCAGGTCTGCCATGCCAAGCAAAGAGCACTGATAAACTCTACAGCTTCCCACAGGTCCTAGCATCCCTAGGTAGGGTCTTAAACTTACCATAATGATACACTTCTGTTCCATCTTTGCACTCCAAGCTTGTTCACTCTGCCTCTCTCCATTGCCTTCCGCTCCTGTGAATCCTTGCACCTTCCAGCTGTTGCTGTGTCCATTCCAGTGCTGCATGCCATTCAGACTCCTTTCCTCAGAGTCCCTCAAACAACCTCTGAACTGCCGTGAAACAGCACTGCGTAGTCATAACAGGCAGAAAGTAGAAGTTAGGGTTAGCAGAAAATAGAAGTTAGCATTTGAATTCTGCCTGATCAACAGCATGTGACACGAGTTAATATATGATACTGCAGCTAGTATGAAAAGTCTTACAAGATTTTCCAGCAACACGTTTCTCCACATATCCAACCAGCTTGTTTTGCTGTGCATGTTATTACCACCCACACCTACAACATGATTATCTCTCCCCTGCATCTTATCATAGTTGATTTACTGGTAAATTAAATTTACCTATATTAAAGAGTAACATGTGCCCTCAGCTCTCTGTTGCAGATGACAACTTCTTCCTGGCTCTCATTTTTTTGAGGACACCATGCAGAGCTTCATTTCTTTTTTTGAGCAGCAGCTGACTTGCCATCTTCTGCTTAACAATCTTTATTTTATTTACCCTGGAAAAAAGTAATGCAAGATTCAAGCAAATGATTAAGTGGGACCATGCTTTTTCTTATTTTATCCTGCAGCCTAGACTGTCACATTCTTTAATGACATCTTTATGAATGCTGTGCACTTTTGTGCTGTATGTTACCTACCAGATATCAAATGCATTGTACAAAAGCAGGATACCAAAGCACTTGTGACACCAGTGTGTCCATAAATACCTGTTTTCTCTCTTTGTTTTCCTTTTTTAATGTGGGTATTTGGATAACTTAGAAATGAAAATTATATTCTGCTCTAAGTGATCATTCTTATCAGACAGCATGAAAAGGGTACTTCTTATCCTTTCTACTGCTGCATGCTTTGCTGTCTCTTGAGCGCATATCCTTTAATTTATCTGTTATAAATCCTAGTATGTATATTCATTATGGACTAGAATTGTTTGTGCAAATGAGTTATGATTCCCTTGGAAAAACAAAACCAAAACATGATACCAACCAAACACACGGACACAGCTCTTAAACAGATAAGTAATACTGGATTCACTCCAGGGGCTTTTGATTTGCATTAACAAGTTAACGAAGTAGCTACTCAGTATTCTGTGTTGCTCAGGACAAGAAACGCCCTTGTGAATGGTTGATGATTCCATTTCAGCCCATAAATTTGATATGCACTTCTTCATGCTGAATTGTATAAATTGAAAAGCACTATGTAACTTACAACTCCTAACAGAATAATTATTCAAAGGATACAAGAGAAGTTGGAGTATGTGTACCAGAGTGAAGGTGTATACTTTTTATCTCAGAAATTAAAGACCTAAGGTAATAGCACTCAGTCTGTCTACTCAGAAGTCAGACACAATTTCAGTTCTGGTGTTAAAATTATCCCTTTTCTTACTCCAAACCAGGAATTTCACAGAAACCAGAGAAATAGAGCATTTTAAGTGGTTATAGAAAAGTCCCATGCAAGCATGGCAGACAATGAAAATCAACTCTGAAGACTATGTAAGAGGCTCTGTCATGATTCCACTTGTGCCACTAGGCTGATATTTCTTATTTAGTAAGCAGGTATTGACTGAGAGCACTCAAAGTCTCATTTCCTCAGCAAGGCCTCTATTGGTGACCATGAGACAAGAGGTGGACAATAGCCATCTCTGCTGGTTTGCATTCTTGACTGGGAATAGCTCTGTGCTGAACTCTGTAAATTCCATGTATGCTAAAGATGCAGCTATCTTCATTAAGCCATTCCACATAGGATTGAAACAGTGTCACAAAGACGGTAGGTGCCTGCATATGCTCAGATGATGAAGAGGTGACAAGTGGTTTAAATGGATTTGCCTTTTTCGAATGTGGTGCTTAAACCCTACCTAGATCATATTCTAGTACCAATACATACATATACATATCTATAGGATCTACGCTTTATTGCAGATATTTTAGGCAAGAACTTACATTTAATGTCATGCTGGTATTTACTGGAACAGTCATCTCCAGACTTAAAATTTCATGCTAGCTACTGAAGAGGCTGTTCTTCAGGACTGGGGAGAAAAAGAAGGCAACTCTGAAATGTGAGAGCTAGCTTTTAAAAGCAAAAATACTCCATATACATGAAATACAGCTGACAAGCTTCCCCCTTCATTATATGGGTTTATAAAAGGCCATTCCTCTCAAGTTCCCTGCTCTTTATGGAAAATTTTGCAGAAATTAGTATTATCTACTAAAATGATCATCCCAAATCTAAGAGTAGTTGCCCAAACAGCTCAATACTTAATAAACCAGACTTTGTTACATATGTATAGATAAGTTTCTTGAAATAATGAGATTTTATACTGCCTTAGGAATACTGTACCTAGGAAATAATACATAAAATGCCTCCCTGGGCTATTTTGAACACATTCTTATTGCCTTCTTTGGTGTCCCCTGCCTTTTGAGATGTGGTCCCAAGCTACCAACAGACAAAATAATCAAAATGTTAGTCATACAGCTTTATCACAACAGGAAAGCTACAATTCAGTCCATTTTGGGAATACTGATCAATAACATTTAAAAATCCTTTGAGTCTCAGTGATGGTAAATAATCCCTTCAGACTTCATAGATTGGTCTGTTCTATTCTGCTCCCTACACATCAGCACACAGGAGTTTACCATACTTGAATTGCAAACAAGTGGCATAAAAGTTAAAAATGTTGCTGTGTGTTATTTTCATTGGCATCAGTCTTAGTAACATTTTAGAGATGGAAGAACTTTTACAAGCCTCAGCAGGGCTGCAAGAAAACACACATTTCCCCTGTTTGATTGCCAGAACGGAGAACTAGCTTTATTCAAGTTCTTGATCTTTTCCCTGCAATCCTCGTTAGCCTGATCCGGCCCTTAACTGACCACTGAGTACTAGTGCAACCATCCTCTTTATAATCCCAGTCACCAGCATCCTACATGTTTGTCTCTGGCAAGCTGGAAGAGACTTTTTCCAAAGGCTTCACAAGATGCCTGTTGCAAATGCTCACTAGGCAAACTGTGGAAGAAGCTGATGTGGCCTTCTATATCACATATCTTAGAAAACAAACTATATCTGCTTCCTATGCATTGGCTGTGAAATTGAACAGAGGACTGTTGAGAGCTCTGAGCTACTGGTGCTACACCAGAGGAGAAAGCTTGGAAGTTAGTTCATACTCTAGGAGAACTTTTGTGTGTTGTAGGCACATTTAGTTAATCAACATTTGTCTGTACTCTCTAATCTAGGGCAATCTCTTCAGGCTGAAGAGCCCACATCTGCATTTTCTTTGGCATACTGAAGCCTCCCGCTGACTGCCAGGAGGGCTGTTAGGTCCAACACACATAAAGATTGAAGCATTTTATTCCTTCAGGAATGGCTGCCAATTACAAAACTTTGTCTTGAAGGCAGGACAAAACAACTCTCTAGGAAAACAGAAGTGACAGTTACCACCCTGTGTAGCTTGCAAGGCCTGATGGTGTAGCACCTAGGTGTACAGAATTGCCCACAGCAGAGCCAGGGACGTGCTTCTGACATAAACTATTCTTCAAAGAACCTTAGGAACAAAGACCTGATCATCAAAATTAATTAAAAGATGAACTTATCTTTTATTTCATGAAAGGAATCATTTGTAAATCCATTTCTGTGAAGAAAAGGTTAAGTCTGTACAGCTTTTTGTGCCAAATTCTTCATTTTAAACACAAGGAGTGCCCACTGGTACCTAAGACTAATTCATGCAGTAGCAGCTGCAGTGATTTTCTTTTTTTGCCACCTGAGAAAAATTTACACTGAAATGTGGACTAAGGCTATGTCAAAGGTAAAATAAATAAACCATCATAGCCAATGCAAGCCAAGAAAATAAGAGCCAGCACGGCAATCCTCGGTGCTGTCGAACCACTCACTCTCTGGTTTTCAAATTCTCAGCTTGTGCAGATTTTTTCTTTATAAACTCAAATGTCTGCTGGAACTTGAAGTAGAAGAAAAGTTGCGGTTAAACACATTTTCTGTCCATCCCCATTCTTTGAATAATCAGATGTACAGCAAACGAACTATGAAATCTCTCTTCCAGCAGTGAGGGTTATCACAAAATAAATTGCAGTTAAACTGTAGCAACAGAACTGTCCATTTCTTCCAAGCAGATGAAATATAAAAGATGCAGTAATGCTTACAGCACTTGCTAATTATTTAAGAGGGATTTTTGACATGAAACACATTTAAAAACTGAAAAGCTTCACTAGTCTTGACCATAACATTTAAAATAGATTTTTATCAAAGATGATTCAGCTGAAACCTACACAGCATTATAGACAGACCCTTGTGCAGAATGTGTTCTTAGCAACAACAAAAAAAAAAACACAAACCAACCATGGTATCATGTACCACTATCCTGAAACCAGAAGGATTTCTAAAGACTGGCCAGGAAGCAGCAGTGTCAACACCGGGAGAGGATTTCCAGTTCCACCTTGTCTAAACTTCAAGTCATTCACCTGTTTCGCAGTTTCGCTGTGCCTCAGTTTACCCAGCTTTAGCAGCCATCTCTGTGAAACTCTGGAGTTGAGGTGCTGCAACAAACCATAATTGCCAATGAGTGTCATTTACAGTAACATTTTATTGTTCATCATTCAGCATCCCCTTTCCTTAATCATCCTAAAGTCAGGGTTTTGCTGGGGTTTTAGTTTTTCATTGGAGCTGCACAAATCCATTTAGCAGCCAGCTGTCCCTATGTCCCTCTCTTGAGCTGGTGTCACCACTTCAGCACCATCCATCCATCTTCTTCTGCAGTGTGTACTCCTTCCCTAGAGGCTGTAAATTTTATCTGACACTAATGTTGTTCATTCAGCATGGTTGTTTAGGAGAAAAAAAAGAAAAAAGGACTATGAGGAAATGTTGACATCACTACTTGCCTCTTTCTCCCGACATTCCTTAAACAGATACGTAGGCCTGAAAATGAGAAGGGGTCAGGGACTGCAGTCTCCCAGGGTCTCATGAAGGAAACTAGAAAAAATTACTGATGATAAAAAATTGAACAGATTAAGAACTTGGTTAGCTGTAAAAAAGAGAGAAGACTGAAGGTACACATGCTCACAGTCTTCAAAATACATAAATTCTATGGTAAAAAGGGAAAGATCCATTCTCTACATGGATACAGCAAGAAGTCATGGGGTTAAACTGCATCTAAGGAGTTTCTAATTGGAGGCAACAGAAAACCGTCCTATGCTAAGGAAAGTGGAGCACTAGAAGAGATGCCTGAGGAGATCATAAAATTCTCTCCCTGAAAATGTTTGCATACCTGGGATATTTACCAGAAATAGATAAGGAGACTGCATATTGCTTTATGGTAGTAAAATCACAGAATGGGCCAGATGAACTATTCACATTCTTTTCTATCCCAGTAAGTTTATGCCATAGCTATGAAATCCAGAAAGATCCAATGACCTTCCTTCTTCCACTCACATATATTAATACACCCCAAAACAAACTTCAGGTTTGTATTACTCCAGGCCAAAGGCCAAATGGCCAAGGTCCACTCCAGCAGTTACTGTCGCAAAATACTCACATTCATTTTACAAAGCAAATCATGTTCCATCTTGCAGAGGAGAGCGAATGCCTCCCACTTTCCTTTTTCACCCAAAATCCAATGGCCTAAATTGCATTTGGGTGAAAAATTTTCTTCTCAATACAAATCTGATCATAAGATTATAGAACTATAGAATGGTTTTTGTTTGGAAGGCACTTTAAAGATCTACTTCCAAGCCCCCTGCCCCAGGCAGGGACACCTTCCACTGAACCAGGTTGCTCAAAGCCCCATCCAGCCTGGCCTTGAACACTGTGGATGAGGCATCCACAAATTCTCTGGGCATCCTGTGCCAGTGCTTCACCACCCTCACAGTGAAGAGCTTCTTCCTGCTATCTAATTTAAGTTTGCCCTTTGTCAGTTTAAAGCCATTCCCCCCTTATCCTATCAATACATGCTCTTGAAAAAGCCCCTCTCCAGGTTTCTTGCCAGCCCCTTCAGGTACTGGAAGGCTGCTTTAAGGTCCCCTGAGCCTTCTCTTCTCCAGGCCGAATTCCAAGCATGTGAGCATGTCCGGAGCAGGTCCACCACAAACACCTCTGGCCAGCTTTTAATCTCTTGTTAATACTGATCTGATAATTCATAGGAAGCTGACACTTACCCAATTCACCCTAGAAGTAACACAGCCAGATACAGATAAAGTTCAATCAAAATAACACCAAAAAAAAATATTTTCTGACCCTTGCAAGCAACTCAGAAAATCTAGAGTGTGGCATTAATAGACAAATACAATACATGAACAACATACTGAGTGTAGTGAGGTAGTCTTTAGTCCAAGCAGCTTTCCAAATTGGAAAAAGCAAGGAAATGCCAACGGGACTGAAAAGGCACAGAATTGGTTCCTGATTCTTTCAGATTCTTTCATCTGACTCTCAGTGAAAGAACATCCTTAAAAGAAAAACAGATTCACCTTGAGGACCCAAAGTTATGATGTGCCTTCCCTCCCCACTCAGAAGCTACCTCCACAGAGAGCCTTCCTCTGATGTCTGCTACCTCTGTTGTCACATCCTGCCACCATGATGAAACATCATTTTAATGGCAGCTCCTTCACACATTAGTCAGGGCTTTTCGTTCTTCCTTGGGGGTACCAGCTCCTCACTCCAGCTTTAATTGCTAAGTACTAGGTCAAATCTGCCTTCTCATACTTATCGTGATTGTGAGTTTATGAAACTCCACCATGAAACAGCATAGATTGTTTGCTTCTGCTGACCTGTTGGGAAGCTGTTGAGACCTTCAGTCCCCTGATTGTCAGCAACCTCCTTCTTCCTGGTTTCCAGTCCCAATTTCCTCATGATAAATCTTCTCGGACACCAGAAACATTCAGCTCAGTAACATCTTGTGTGTTCAGCTTACCATACCCCAGCACTGCTTTTAGGGAACCACCTCCACAGATCACCACACCATATGTCCTACTGCAGCCATATAACTGAATACACACCTTTTGGCAACCAAAACGCCTGTAAATACAGACCAAAATTTATGGTAACAGCACACATCCATCTGCAAACTGAGAGAAACTTGCAGTCTGTTACTTGATGTTTGTGTGCACTCCCATCACGAGTGACACACCACTATATGGTGGGAGATGCCTGCATTTTGGTACTGGGCATCAGGCTGCAGGCAGGATGATTACATACCTCAGGTCAAACAAGTTGACTTTAATCCCGCTTTTCAGCCTTCATTCAGCTCAACAAGTTGAGCTCCAGGACAGGTCCCCAGCAAACTGAAGAGCACAGCAAATTACATTTTCTACCAAGACAGACCAGTGCATTTGTACCTTGGTTTCCCTTATCTTCTTCTGTTGTAACACTACAAGATTTTGACTCTATCTGACTGCATGCTGGGGGGACAGTAGAAAACAGACCACTTGTGGCCAGAAGCATCTATAAAGTTTTAGCATCTGGAAGTCCTCCTTGGACTTGTTAATACTAATCTGATAACTTGGACATGACCTGCTGTAACTACAATCAGAAATGCAGAAAGAAAATTAGCCAGATGTCTGTACCTACTATTGGCATGCTTTGTGGACCAAATATGCATCTTTAAACCAGGGCCACCCGTTGGGGATTTCCCTCCTGTGGCACTCCCTGAGGGTCAAAGCCAGGCAGCTCCAGCACACCAAGCGGTAAGCCGTGTTTTCCTGAAGGCACGGTGCAAAGGATGAAATTCAATGCATTTAATTGCTTTCGCAATCCTTGGGGAGGCCCTAGACGTGAATCAGAGCAGCGCAGAAAGGTACTGCGAGGTAACCCCTCCCACAAGCAGTTGCAGAAGTATTCCTAATGCAGAAAGCAGCCCTTTTGCCTCCTCTTTAAGAGGTGGCTTCGCATAAAATTCCACAACTAGCAAGCCCACCTGCCTGTGCTCTGCCTCAGCGTGCGCATGCCAACACCCCGAAATTAACCCACACAATCCAGGCGCTCAGAGCCACCGGGCAAGCGTACTGCTCCCGCTCAGCGGGCAGGGGGCTGCCGAATCCCGTAACGCGAGGATGTTTCGGCAGGGCCGCTCCCGCTCACCTCTCGCCCTGTGCTTAACGCGGCCTGACAGGCGCGGCCACCGCCGCTCCACTCCCCCCGCACCGCACTACACCCCCCCTCCCGCCGCCAACCGCCGGCCCGCTGACATCACCGAGATGGATTTAAATAGCACCGCAGCCCCCTGCCTCCCGGATACAGCGCACCCCATTGGCGGCGGTGGCAGCCTATGGCCGCGCCGCGCCTCTCCCCTCCGCCAATGGCAGTGCCGCTGCCGCCGCGCACCTCCCCTGTCGCTAAGGGAGGGAAATACATCGCGGCGCGGCGGGCTGTCAGGTGTGCGGGTAGTGCTGCATCCTGCCGCCGGCCGGGGATGGGGATCGGCCGTGGGGCGGGCTGGGTGCGCTTCCTTTCCTTAACCCCCGCCTTGGTTTCCATCCCTGCTAGGCCAGCTGCTGCAGCCAGCCGCGTAGCGCGGCGGGGAGCGGGGGGGAGCGTGGAAAGTAGCAATTTTCGCCTTTGTTTTAAGGGCTCCAGGGGAGGTGGAATGTAGGGCGGGCATCGGGCAGAGAGGAGGTCCGCTCCGCTGCGCTGCTTCCCTGGGAAAAGCTTAGAAAGGGAGAGACGGGCCGGGGGACACTCCGGGCTGCGGGGGCTTGGCGGGTATGGACGGCACAGGGATGAAGACGGTGTGAGAGAGAAACGCACCTGATGATGGTAGTGACGGTGTTAGGGGTGGGAGGCAAAGAGATGGAGAGGGGCTGGGTGCCCCGCACGCATCCGGAGCCTGTGGATGTTTGCTCCCCGCCGAGCCGCAATGGACGCTGCCCGCCGCCCCGCCGCCGCCGCCGCCGTGGGAGAGCTGCTCGCCAGGAGCCGGGGACGGGGGTTTCCTCTTCGGCAACGCTCCGGTGAACTCAGGGTCTGCGGCCGCCCGCAAAGATAGGTTGCGTGGCAGCCACGGCTCGGGCAAATAGGTAAACACCGCTGTGTAGATGTGCTGTTTGGAGAGGGAACATAAATAAATAATAAATTTATATGCGGATATTGGGCCTGGCGCTGCACGGGGAGATGGAATAGCCTTTGCCTTGTGCGGTGGCGAGATGTAGTGTGACGAAAATGAGATCCCTAAGTGAGGCGAGTTGGATACCTGCTGGGTCGAGCATCGCCAGAATTACCTGGGTCTCTCCCTGCCATGCCGCAGCCTGTCACTGCGGGGCCTGTCCTAAAAGCAGACTTTCATCTGTAACAGCTCTTATGCTTAAGAGCTGCATAGCACTGTGGAACAACCAAAATTCAGTTACATTCCAAAATCTGAAAAATTAACTCGTTTCTTTTGCTGCCAAGCTTACAAGCTTGAAAAGAGCTTCCACTGTGCCATCAAGCCCTAACGGGATTGCTTAAAACATTTCTACATGGTTACTGTTTACTGCTTCACACCCTCCAAATATTTCTGACTTGTTTCTTTCCCTTATCCACAGTGTGTTAATATGTTGCCTGAATATCCTGAAGATGTCGGCATGCATACTCAAAAGGCAAATGTGTGTGTAAGAACTGCAGGCAAAACAGAGCAGGATTGAGGCATCTCTTGGATTTAATCTCTGTTTCTGCCTATGTTTTAGAACAAGGTGAACTTCCTGCCTTGCTGCTTTTTTTCCCCTGTTCCCCATTTATCCTCAAATTAAGAGCAAAACTTAACTCACAGTTTTGCTGGGTAGATTTTTTTAGATAAAAAATTCCTATGCAACGTGAAACATTAATTATTGTAAGAGAAGCTGCAAGTACTTACTGTAGAAGCCCTGCTAAAAGCAAAAGTAGAAAGAGTACTTTACCCTTCCCTGAAACAAAACCACCGAGTTACCAGAAATCTCAGGTGCCTACCTATGTATGTTTGTGTGATGTGATGAAGTTTGTATCAAGGTTTTTCCCTTCAGGTGGGGGAAGCTTGTCATAAGAACACATCCCCCCCAACTCCCCCCCCCCCCCCCCATTACTCTCTCCTCCTTCTCCTTACCTGTTACCCCTCCGAGTGAAGGATGAGGACTGTGCAGCCTTGTTTTGCCTTCTGTTGTTGCAGAACTCCTTGGATGAATTGGAAGTAAGCACCAGGAGCATTTGGTGATGTCCGTGGGAAGAAGGCACAAACCACCAAGGCCCCGTTCCCTCCATCTTGAGCCTTCCGTGGTGCTTTGCAGGCAGCACAGGGAAGTATGAAGCACTGACGGACTGAAGTCAGTGTTTAAACCTGACTTCAGCATAAGCAGAGGACCAGGGCTGGAATAGCAGAAGTACTTAAGATGCCTCTTTTAAAAGTTCTCTTTTGCGTATCTAAAAATGAAGGAGCTGCTTAGAAAAGATGATGCTCCCCATGTATTTGTATTTATTAACAGAAGATGATGGTCTGCATTATCTTGCATCCTAGGTAGGTCTTGGGTGAACCTATATCACCTTACTGATTTCTGTGTTGATTTAAGTTAGTTAAGGAACTAACCCAGCTCAGTTTTAAGTAACTGGAATAATATTCTCCCTCTCTTCCAGTCAGATTTGCCCTTTATGTTACTTGTGTTTCATAATCCTCCTAGCTCTTCATTTCATCATTACAAGGCAAATATCTCTGTAGCTCTATTGTGAAAAAAAAAAAAAAAAGGAGGAAGAGGAAAAAACCCCTTAAACGATTGTATT